CTGAACCGCAACAGGTTGCAGTGAAGAAATTGAAAATGCGAGCGCTTGAGGCGGATTTGCGCGATTTCGAACGAGAAATAGACATAATGAAGGTAAGAAACGTTATCTATGCTATATATATATATATATATATATACATTTGTAATTATTAAAATAAATAGTAAAACTTTATGTATTTTCAGACTTTGAAGCATCCGAATGTCGTTGAGATTTTGGGCGTCATATCCGAGCCCGAGGTATGTTTAGTAATGGAATTCGTTAAACATGGCTCGTTACAAAGTTACCTAGCAATACATCGCGAGAGTTTAACGCACAAGAGATTACTTGGCTTTGCTCTTGATATTGCAACTGGCATGGATTATCTTGGACGTAAAAGCGTCGTTCATCGTGATCTTGCTGCGAGAAATATCCTCGTTGCTGATGATAATCGAGTGAAAATTAGTGATTTTGGTCTGGCACAAGTAACTGGAAAGAATGATTATTATATCCTTCAAACTAACAGAGATCTTCCAATTAAATGGTGAGCAATAATAATAATTAATAAAAAAAAAAAAAAACAAAAAAAAAAAAATTTATACCCATTCACGATAAAAAGTTTGCAATTTAATGTTTGTAATTGAAGGTATGCACCGGAAAGCTTAAGGGACGGAAAATTTTCACCTCGGTCCGATGTTTGGTCGTTTGGTGTAACTATGTTCGAGACTTTTAGCTTCGGAGAAGATCCAAAATTACCGGAATTCGGCAACAATAGCTTTACGAACAATGATGAATCAGAGAAAGGTGTAAAAACGTTGGAAGGAGAAGGAAGTGCCGACTTATTAAAGGCATTAGAAAAAGGTGCGCGATTACCTTGTCCAGTCACATGTCCACAAGAAGTTTATGTTAAAGTAATGTATCCCTGCTGGCACATCGATAGTCATCAACGTCCTGACTTTGCAAAGCTTTGCAAAGATATCAGAGATTTAATTAACAATGAGTATTAATGTCTGAATGTGTGCCTTTGTATAATTATGAAATGGTAAAACGAAGACTTACAAGAGTTCCCAATAGGTAATTGAGTTACCTAAGAAATTAATTTGTAATTGAAAATCAGTTTGTGTGATAATGATTAATCCAAGTAATTGATTTTTATACGATTGTTATTTTCTACTGAATTTTTAGATTTATAAACGCCAGCGTTTTGATAAAATTTTTAGACTGATTACTAATTACAATTTCGTTTACTATTAATTATTTGAAAAGTGATGCTTATTATAGAACAAATCATGTAATACAAGATACAATGATTGTACAGTTCGTATGTAATCTGTACAGTTATCTTATTGAAATATCATTAAATTTGATGTCATTTTAGACATTCGACTGAAATTTTACCGCTTTATTAGAGTTGTATAATATTGAAAAATAGTTGTGTCCAAGTGTCTAAAATTGCGTCATAAATAAGCATTTCAATAAGAATTTTTTTCTGAGTGCATATAAGTTGTTTATAAATTGACTACTTTTAAATATAAAGTTATTTTTATTTCATTTTTATATCTTGTGAATAAAGTATGTAACTTTTTATTAAATTTTCGCGTTTTCCAATGTTATTTTGATCACCATGCAAGGTTTTTTTGAATTTGTAGATAAACTCTGTCGGAATAGTTGAGCATGCTGCCATGCTGTGTCACCTTTACCTCCGCGAAGCGTGGCACTCACTTTTAATCGAATTGCGCCGCAGAAGTCAGTCGATCGAAAGTTTCCTGTTGTAATTTTTGCTTCCTTTATTATTAAGGAATCGCGGTCGAAGATACCTTGTATTCTCCACTCAACGACTGCTTCGTTAAAAGTCGCGGTCGTTGCTTGCAACTCTACACTATCTATAGTCATTTTCTCATAATTTTCGACAACAAAAGACCAGGTTACCGTTCCAGTTATTGATTCAGGCGATCTGGCTAAGTAAACCATTTTCCAATCCTCTTCTTTTTTTAGAAAGACTCCACCATTTACATATTCAACACCGTTTTGCCATTTTTGTTTTGTTTCTAAAATTCTATTATTAATTACATCTCGCGTTGCGTAACAATCATTAATAATAGAATAGGTCAATTCAAAATCTGAAACCTGTTGAGGAATCTTCCAATGCGTTGGTTCATAACTTACATTCTAAATTATTTATGTAAAATTGATTAATCTTGGTAAAACAAATATAATAAGTTATCAAATGAAAGAAACTTTAACTCACTCCCATTTCACCTCGAGAGATTCTCCATGCTTGAGATCCGGATACTCTACCTACATAATCAGAATCATTTTCTGACGCTTTAGAGCATTTTTTATGATCAAGTGGGGCATTTATCATACTGGCAAGCTCTAATGCACTACGCTTAACAACAAATTTTCTTCTGGCACTACTGTAGTTATTACTACTTTGATGAACTAAATTTAATTTATTGATAAATAATACTAACGTTTCTTCCGAACAAAGATTTCTTCGTTGCATGACTTTCTCGAAATCGTTAGTATATCGCCATGTGACATCTTGCATTTCATCTTTAGAAAAAGCTATGATATATGACAGTTTTTTACCCCAACCCTTTTCATACATCAGTGGACGATCGATTATATTTTCACAAACATCTGCATGTATCCATCTGTTTTCTGCAATTGACCAAACCTAAAATTTAATAATTAAATTTGTTTTTCATGAATAATTATTGATTTTATGTTTATGAATCAACCTCTGTCCAAATATGATCTGTTTGGTCGTAAACAAGTCGTGAATCAAAACCGACAGTACGGCATATAAGAGTAAAACAATTAGCCCATTCTCCGCATCTGCCTTGTCGAGTATATAATAAAGGCTCTGGATCTATGTATCGAGGAAATTCATTTTCACATCTACAATTTTTGCATCTGGAATTTACCACGTTTAAACTACTATTTATAAAAACTTGTATAAAATGAAATATGAAATAATATTTAAAAATATTGTACTTATGAATTTCAATTCTTGATATTTGAGGATCAGGGGAAGCTTTAATGTGGTCGAAAGAACATTCTCCTCTACACTTTTTACAAACAGGGCTATCGACCCACTTAAAAAATTTAAATTTAAACCAGCTTAATAATTCACCAAACAACACATCTTCGAATACAACATTGCCATCGATATTTTTTATCTTCATCTCTCTAAATAATAAAAATATATAATGTATTTCTCATTTATTTATTAATTGTAAAAACTAAATATTATAATGACTTTACTTTTGTATTTTGTGTAATTTTTCCATAGCAGTAATTTGTAATTTTTCAAGAGGTAATATTAATTTAACTTTATTCTGCAAATTTTTATCCTCGTATCTTAAAATAACTTGGAAGTGATTTATCAGTTTTGTAATAAAATCATTGTTTTTAAACTGTGGTTCCTCTTTTAGAGACTGTAGATATAAATGTGATTGCTGCATTAACGATTGAGTTTTCAATTGCTGTGACATGTTACTCAAAAGATTAAATAAATCTTTAACACCTGTTAGAGAAGTATTTATTGGCAAAAGAAGTCCATTATTATCCTGAAATTAAAAAATTTTAATTTATTATTTTAAATCCTTATTTGAATTTATACGTAATTCAATAACTGTTTTAAAATGCATCAATGAAACCTGCTTCAACAAGACATTCAATTACACCATCATCAGACAAAAGTTTATTTGTAACAATGACATCGGCTGGTCGAATTTTCTCTATTATTCGATTATTCTTCTCGATAATTCAAAATATGTTTACATAGCTTTAGAATGATTACTTACTGTACTTCTTTTTTTACACGTTTATCATTGTATTCTAAAAGAGTAACATAATGCTTCGAATGTTTAATGTTTTAATGTTTTAAATTTTAAATTGTTCGACACTACTACAGTTACAGCCGACTATGAATGATTAAAATCAATTAGTCATTGAGATTACTTATAGTAACATATGGGCTTAATTCGTATATAAAAACTAATTAATAAGAAAGATAGCAGACAGGTGGGTATGACTCTAGTGATATTGGTGAGATATTTTATTACGGTGGTACTACTGTTTCTTCATTGGGCTGCTTCAACGTTTTATACATTTAAATTATTACAAGGGCATATAGAATATTAAACATTTAACATTGTATTTTTCAAAATAAAAATATTTATATAAATATGTGCAAGTGTAGTTTTTATCCATTTTTATAAATATTCGTATACAATAGAATGAAAATTAATTCTACTAAATTCGAAGTGAGTATGAAAGTGAGTTGCCAATAGATGATTATTTTTTTTTAATTTCATACTTGTATTATTGATAATTGCAAACAAAATGGCTGTTTCAAAAAAGTCATATATAGCTTACAAGATCGGTTGGAGAGAAGTATTATTAAATTAATTAAAATAAATTATATTACTACATATAAATTATAATATAAATTAATAAACATATAAATTATATAAATTTTTGTCAAATATTTTTCTACATACTTATTATTTATTATACATGTACATATCCGTATAATTTTGAATAATTCGTACAAATTTGTATATTGAGACAACATACCTAGAAACTATTTATTGAGCATAGGTGCGTAAAAATTCATTATTTTATTTAAATAATGTGTACGAAATCTGTAATATATGCAATACAAATGCAAAATACATAATATTTTTTTTTTTTATATCCCGTTAAATTGATGAAATAATGTCGTTGAAAATAATTTTGAAAGTATAAATAACAAATATATTAATAATATCCGAATCGTTTTATATTATATATAATTTAGGATAAAAAGAAAACGGTATATATATTTAATTATTAATATGTTGAAAAATATGTATTATTAATGTATTTTATAGCAACAAAAATACGTAAAATATTATGTTTAGTCGTATTAAATCAATTTTGCGACAATATTTGATGTTAAATAACTATTTAATTATTGAAAACTTGCACATTCAAGTTCTCCTCGAAAGGCGAATCGGAAGAAATAATAATAATAGTAATAGCAAATTCTTTAAATCGATGCCTCGAGCTTTAAATTATACGTTCAAATATGATGGCCAGTCTGATCTTTATTGATAATATTGCAAATAATTTGATTATGAGAGGGATTGTAATATCACAAGTATAATAAATGAGAATATATCAAACGAGAAGTAAATATAAAATATGTTTTCTTCAGTGGCTTTAAAGTTTACATTAATAAATTTAAAAATATGATTGATGAGCTTAACATATTAGATAAATAATTTAAGTTTATGAGTGTGGGTATTTATAAAGATATTGACAATTATAAAAATGTACGATAATTATTATATCCGACACATAAACTTTGTATTTTAAATGAAATTGAATTATGTAAATATACGGATAATTAGCCTTTTATTTAACTGTACGTTATGTTTATTATAAATGTATATATATATATATATATATATATATATAATCCAAGGGATTAGTAATTTCTGAATGTGAAAAAATATCATACGTATTATGTATTTTAACGAGTAATGAATAACGAGTTATTAATATTAGCATTCATGGAGGAGTTTGTATATTTAATCAAAAGAAACAGTGAGGTAAGAACTATATTTTATTATAGCAAGAACTAATTACGTGCCAATATTGGTCTAGACGAAATTCAGAGAAAATTTTTTTGACAAATTTTATAATTCGTCACAGTAGGCACATACATTAGGCGCTAGGAATATTAAATATTCGATGCTCGTTACATTACTTCTACTTCTACATCGAGAACCAGACGCTACCCATATTACGAAGTAGTTAGTTCTGAAAAACTGGATTGCGTGATTAGTTGCGGTGCAGCGCACGAAATAGTTATTTCTATACACAAGTGATATTTATCATTCGGATAAGCCAACAAGCCAACGCTTCCATTTCTCTCGATTACATCGAACTTACCATTACATCGGACCCCCCCCCCCCCGACACCGCTAGGAGGTCTGGAACGGTCAAACACTTTAAGTAGACCATGAGACCTCATAGATCCAGTGTTACTTGGAGGATGGTTCATAAAGCCAGAACGAGCCAAGATGTGATGTACTCGTTGGCGCCAAGTTTGAGACTTGAAGTTTTGGAGTCTGAAGTGTCAGAATGGCAAATCGTACATCTTTCTCTGCTAGTCGTTGAGCTTTACGATTCTGCATAGTAGAAATTTAAACTGAAAAATATGCACTATCTACATACACGCTGTACTACTTTTTCCATTATAATTCCTCTTTTATAAAGAAGATTTTCTTTAGCCGATGACTTTGTCGATAATCTTCGTGGGATAAGCAATTCGCTTCACTTGTGCCCTTTTTTTTTTTTTTTGTTTTTTTTTTGTCAGCGTGAAAAGGCCACTGTTGTCTGATGCCTATTCGTCGAAATGCCTTATAGCGAGATTTGATTTCATACTTTTGAAAACTTTTTTTTTTAAACAACTTGATCATGAATGAAGTAACGATTACAATATATATAAATTAAATAACGATATTACAATAAAATAAAAATTGTATATTTGAATATGTACGAAAAGAAAGTGAAATAAAAGAATTAGATAAAAAATAATACAATTTTTATCCAATATTTTTCTCTCGATAAACAATGATTTGAACTACCTACGATAGTTCAGTTTTTATATAAATACACACCCACCCACCCTAACAATCCACCCCGCCGCCCCACACACATATATACTTATATTCTATTATAGTTTAATTCTCAATTTCCATATAGATGAGATATGAGATTTCATAAATAATATGTACGTATAATATTGTTAAATAAGTAACAAATAGTCTTAAAAATTACGGTATAATGAATTACCGAGTGATTTAAGTTTGCATTCACAATCTTGTATTTATTGTAGAAATTAAAAAATGACATATATATTCACCAAAGCGTTAATAAAATCTCGATTATTAAGGTGATATTTTATTTTTCTGCAATTAATTCTTAATTTGTTTTCGTGAATATTGACAAAACGTTAAAATTATTTTCCCACTATTGCGAATAAACAATTTCTTTACAAAATTTAGTAATAAAATCAAATTTGCTTATGGTTTTAGCAATATTATGACGTATTTATTGGGAGTATGACTGTAACGTAATTCACAATTGATAAAAGCTATTACATCTAATTTTTATTTTCAATTCATAGCATTACCGACAAAGTTTTCGCAGCTATAAAGCGTTTGTTAGAAAACGATATTGTTTTCATTTTAGAGGATATCGTAAGTCCTGGGTCCTTTTTCTGCATAGATTGTATTTCTTTGCAAGGGATCGAAAATAAAGTCGATCGATAATTTATCGTATCTTTGCTCAGTGCAAAAATTTATAAAACGAAATGATTATTTGGCTGGTGGATATAACATCGGAAAGAATCTGGGTTATCATTATATAAAGGATAAATTAGATTAAGGGAAAAGGATTTAAGTATATCTTGAAATAGTATTGATAATAATTTCTGCACTACAAAAGTGATGTAATTCTCTATTCAACAGTAAAGAAGAAATTGTTATTGATTAAATAACGTATGAAAGTACAACTCAATTGAGGCGCTAGAGAATTGATTCAAATTGATTGAGATTGGAACAACGTAATTTTTACCGAGGCTGCTTGCTTTTGGGTTTACGTTATTCAACGAACTTGGCTTATCGCCACTATCAGACTTGTGCAGAGGATCTCGCGACTACGTAGTAAAGATGTACATTTTAAGCTACTTTTCAGACAGGCTTTTGGCATACCGTGCTTGTACTTTATACACAGTTTAAGCATCGAGTAAATCCTATAAATTTTATGAAGCAAGCTTTATAATAATATTTTGCGTCTTGGTTTTATAAAAATAAAGATCGCAATTTACAATTTGACAATACAGCTTGGAGTAGCCCGTTAAAACACTATTGTAATATGAAAAGAAGAAAGTTTATATTGATCAAGGGGGTTGGGAAGGGTAGAGAACCGCTACAGGTGCTTGTTAAAAGGTTCGTCGAAAATATTGAACCATGAATTAAATAGAAGTTTGACTGAAGACAAATATTTAGTTTGAAGCAGTTTAAAGAGATGTCTCGAGAGATCATTGGGTATGCAAATTCTTGTCGTAAGAAATTACTGTCAATTTGGTGTAAAATAAATTTCAAAGATATCAATCAACGATTGACCTCGTACATGACAAATACATTATTAATATATTGTGTTTCAGGTCAGATTGAATCGAAAGCACTTTAATCATTTTATATTAAATCAACTTCTTACACACATTTTTCTATCTATATTTTTCCCGATTTTATGAAAACAAAGAAAAAAATAATTTCACATTCTCATCTCTCTTAAATTTCCTACCGACATAAAAAAATTATGAATTACCATATATTATTATATAATAATACATATAACAATACGTTTTTAAATAAATAGGTTTACTGAAAAAATTCATCAAACATTTCAAGGTTCTTTCATTTTAATGTTAAACAAGTATTTCTGAAACTTTTTGGATTTTTCTCTATTTATCTCCATATTTTTAATGAAAATCGAGAAAGAGTATAAAATATATATTAAATTTTAATATTTATTTTACAATCGTTGTTCTATTTAGTGACTATTATATATATAATTCAGTGGAAATATTTTCTTCTATGTAATCATCGTCTGATCTTTTGATAATGAGTAGTTTTTAATTTTATTAATTTCTTTTAATATCTCGTACTAATTTATTAAATTTATCAATTTTATCGATTCGTAGATGAATAAATTTTCTAAATTATTACGTAGAGCAAATGATCAAATTAGAAAAAAAATTTTTAATAAAATTTGAAAAAACTGAATGAAATTTACAAATCGAAAGCGTTGCATTTAAATACTCACAATTATTAACAAACTCGAAAAAATTTATTATTATATATTAGTTTTAATTTCATATACGTGAATGAGACAGTATTTTTCAAGTAAATCCATTGAATCTTATTATTTAAGCGTATCAAATAAATATGAATCCATTCTATTAGTTTTCATATTTTACTAATTTAATAATAACGAATTCTTAAATATATTTATGCAAATTCATATACGTGGGTCTTATAAATATTCTATATTTGTATTAATTATCATCGTTATATACATTACTAAATACAGTTAACTTATAGTTTACATCTATAAAGATGTTTTTTCTTAATATAACTTTCGATAAGTATCATTTAATTTATATCTAATATTATTGATTTTGACTTTTTGTTTTTAGCCTTTTTGATGCGTAACATTTGAAATTAAAACATATTAATATCAAACAATGTAGACAAATATTTATATTTCATTTAATGTAGAAAATTTGAAGTTATGGAATTAATGAATAAGGTACGAATATGAGTGAATTACGAAATATTATTTTGTGTATATATATATATATATATATATATAATTTCACATATTATGCAATATAAATTAATTTCATCCATTTTTTTTTTAATTATAATATTTAATTGATATTTTATTATATTTCAATAATAACAACATTTTGATTTTTATTTTCTTTAAGGTTTTTTTTTTTTTTTTTTTTAACTTTGTTCTCGAATTTCATTTGATCTGATAGTTCTGTACATGCATTGATGAATAACTGAGTAAGAAGATCACTGCAGCAGCTGTTTCAAGTATAGAAGCCCAATATAAGTATTAAGGGAAGTATAGGAAAAATCTGTCTTCGAAGTCACTGAATATGTAGATGTAGAGAGTAAGTAATATCTGCTACTTTTGATCGAAGTTATAAAAGAAGTCAGGATTTTGAATGTGGTCGGGATACTTCGAGTTTATTATGATTTCAATTTAATTATCCTTACTACTGTCAAGCACATTTATTTTCTCGTGTAAAAAAAGTGACATTATATATGGATGAAACTATTGTAAAACGAATAAAGGAAAAAGTCTAACTAACCGATAAGTTCAGGAAAGTCGATAGGATTTGTTCGTTAACTGCTAGAAATATTAGTTACTTCAGTCTATGTTCGAATTTCTGTATTACATTATATTCAGTCTTAGCAGAAAAAGATGGAATTTATGATAAATTTTGCGAATCTTGAACCATCGAGTAAATTTGAGGATTACTTATTAAATTTTATCAATGATTATATCAAGACTATTCGCTATTTGAGTGAGTTTTTTTTATTTATTTTTTTTTTATTTTTTTGTAATAAAGAAGTAAAGATAAGAAATTATTTAGAAATTTAGAGTGTTGTTGAGGTACACGGGAGATACTATGCAAATCTTAGAATTATGCCAGTAGAATAGAGCTGCTATCAATTATCATGAGGTTATGTTAAGTCTAGAAGAAAATGTGGAAATTGATTCTTAAAGAATATATTTCTAAAATCGTATACTAATTACACGTACGGTAATTTATTGTGATCAAGATATTCGTAGCATTTATGGAAATCATTCAACTATGGGAATGCTGGGTGGGTTTCAACAATGGGATAGGAATCTGGAGTTAATCCAAGTAATTTCTTTTGTCGACGAATTTCGTAGAATTTATAAAAGATACTAATTGCAGTTTACGATAACTGCTCGGTACTTCATGGCCCCTGTATTTTATTTGTTAGACTATTTCTTAGTCTAGCACGATTGCCTTGCCAATATATCATGCTCTTTCTATATTTCATATTAATTATATTAAATTCTATTATTTAGTGAGGTTGAAAGGTATTTAAAAATTCCTTGTTAGACTTAATCATGATTCGAGCTTATTTTTATTAGCATAGAATTAACAATAATATATACAATTTTATAAAAATATTTAATATAAAGCTAGCGCATACAATTATCGAGTTATTTATTTATTATATGAGTCGATACATTTCAAATAATTTAAATATAGATAGATATACATTTGAGCATTTTTTCAAACGATTTACCTGTTATTAATTTACTAATTAAACATTCGAAATATGCTCTCCTAAAATTAAAAACATTGAAGATTATTAAAATAATCTAGTAATAATTAAATAACTGACATAAAATTAATATAAATTTCGTGGCGTTTACAGTTGTTTTTTTTTTTTTTTTTTTTTTTTTTTTTTTTTTTTATTATGAAAGAATAAAAATGCAAAATTTTTATATTTAAAATTTTCATCGTATCATTTTTTGAGTTCTTATGTAAATATACAAGATATTATTACACATTATTTAATGCATTAAGTAGAATCAATTAGTACAATTGCGTTATTTATATCTATTAATAAATTCATGATCGAACGATTAAGATTTATTTAATTTTTTAATTTTACCTCTAAAATTTTCTATAAAGCTTAATTTTAATTAATTATTTCACATCATTGTGCGCTCACATAGTAATTAATATTTCAAATACCTTTAGAATGAAATTATATTTCAGAAAATATACTAATTTTCAGTTGTGAAATAAGAATTTCAAGAATTTCATAATTTCAGCGAGCTCAGTAATAATAACCACCAACAGAATTTATTTGGCAATTTATTCAATTATTTTATACAATACATCAGTTGATTTGAGATGTGTATTTTGTGAATGGTTAAATTATTAAATTATTTAATGAAATCATGAAAAATTAAATCATAAAAATGAAAATTTGTTTTATATTTATGTTATATTTAATTTGTTATTTAAACACTTAGCCAGCTTATAGAAATATCTATGGTACGTGTGTGATATTGAGAAAAAAAAAATTATATATCTTTGATATATTAAAATATTTTAATTGTATGTAAAATTGTCGATACTAAGTTAAGTAAGTTTTGACTGATCAGATTTTTATTTTCAATGGCTTGTTCAGTAATTGTTGTAAAACACAATCTATTAGACATAGTAAAAAATGTATTTAGGTAAAGGTACAGTTTGAATGAATTCTTGAAAATTTTTTGTTTATATTTGTGTATAGGATTAAAGATATTTTCGTAGCGTTCAGCTAGAGCTGAAATAAAGTAAAAGGAAGTTATTTTAAAATTAATGAATATTCATGTTGTGATAAAGTCTATGATGTTTTCAATATGTGATAAAACAAAATTTTTTTTTTTTATAAATTATCATTCACAATAGATTCTAATATACAAACAGCTTTTGTACATATTATAAAAAATATTTGATTAATATATTAATAATAGTCTTATATATAAATAATTTATTTATATATAAGAATTTCAAGAATTTCATATGTATATAAATAATTTATTTAATATTAATTAATTAAAATTAATATAATATATTAATAAGTCTTATATATTAATAGTAGAAATAAGGTTGTTATCGTTTTTATAACGAGCCAATTTTATTTTACCGTTTTTACGCACAAAAGCTGATCAAAGGAATCAAGTTGGTGTTTTTGATTAGAAATTTTAATGAAAGACTAATTAGGAAAAATTGTAAATACTATATCATTCCATTTTGTAATTAGTACTGGTATTAGGAATGGTCTTGTACAAATGATTTGTTCCTTTGTATATTCTTATACGTATTCATTATGTATTTTTAGAAAATAGGTATTATAAAAAAGTACTGCAATGTGAGTTTATATTTTGAAATTTCTTTGATGTTTGAATTAATTTTACCGACACTTTTATAATTATTTTTTCATGTATAATTATTTGCCTCAAGTAATATTTTCATAAACTCATTTATCGTAGATTTCATGTTGTATATATTTAAAATAAATGTATGCTTCTAGTTAATATTTCAAAGCACTGTAATAGAAATTATTTATTATTTAATATACCTATAGTTTTAATTGTCTATAATTATAAATATCAAATATTTTATTTTAAATAAATATTTTGAAGGTTTAGAGTATATACAAAAATTAATATTTTAAATTTTGATTGGCAATTAAATAATAATATATATATATGCTTCAAGCAAAAAAAAATAATGAGAAACATTTTGTATGACACTATTACTGATTATAAAACAATACAAATAAGTATCTATTTATTTAGTATTTGAAAGCAATTTTTTGAATGCCGTTAATCGAGTTTTAAAGTTTTATAAATAATTATAAGTCATTAATATAAGTCATTATTATTATTTAGAACATTCAAAAGTAAAATCCAATAAAAAAAGGATAATATAATTTTTTACATCTGATACAAATTGGAACAAGTTCTTTTAAATTGTAGCTTTGTCTTTTATGTTTCGGGTAGTGATAAAATTTTATTTAAGACAGAAATTATACATTTACATTTTTCATATAATTGGTAATATTTAATTTTAATATTAGGTATAATTTTTCATAAAATAGTGCTATATCTATAAGTTGTCCAGTTGATTCTCCGAAGCTAATGATGACGAAATCGATACTCTTTTACCTGCTTTCTTTCAAGTATGACATGTATTACGTTTATAATGTACAAGCGATTCGTAATATCTCATTCAAAAATTACTTTTTATTTTGTCGTTTTTACTAGTTTCTTACTATATTATATATATTACTATATATTATACTCTTTTCTTAAGGAATTTCTGTTGATAATGCAACATTTCTTTGACATATGGTTCATACATCTTACTTCTAATGCATTTCTGATTTATTGCTTGTCATGATTTTATACCTTTGAATAAATATAAAGAAAATTATTTATGATATAAAAGTGTTATACCTTAAATTCTTTAAAAATCTTGGAAGTAGTAGAAATTTATTTTTAGAAATGAAGAAATATTTGTAGTTATAAAAAGACATTTATTGAGTAAAGTTATTTACGTTTAAAGTTTTGTAATATTATATTAATCATCGCATAAAACGTTATTATATTATTTGATTAACATAAAATATTATTTGAATTCGTTTACAATGTGATAAGTGGATAAAGCGGGTTTTTTTTTTTTTTTTTTTTTAATAGAGTGACGTGTAAACTTTATTTTTTAATATAATTTTAATTCTTATATTCTTTCATTGCTCAATTAATATACTATTCAAACAATTTTTTTTTATATGTTTCTTATAAAATGTTTATAAAAACACTTGTAGATACGATTATGTTAAGCTATTTAAACGTACATCAGAGCTCTGTGCAGAATGCGATAAAACATACAATTGTTAATATAAAAGACTTTTATATATTATAAAAATGATTGAATTATAAAAAAAAATGTCTATAATTAAGGATTTGATATACTTTAATAATAAAGTTTGTGAGGCAACGCAGTTTCGCATATGCGCATGTTAATCTGTAGATAATAAAATGAAAAGTTTTATACCGTCTACGCAAAATTTATCGCTATTAATTAATACATATAAAACAGGCATAAATAATTAGTATAATAATTAATAGCTCTTCATTAATATTAGCAAGGCTTTTCCAATAAAAAATTAAACAGTAATTTTTAATGACAAATATTGAATATGTTTATATCAATGTAAATTTCAATACAATTAATTATAAATTATGATATACAGTTGAAATTTTATATTTAGAAAGCTATTATATAAAAGAAATGGCAGATTTGCAATTATTGATAGATTTTTAAAATGTAGTAATTCAGAAAAAAAAGTTATATAAAGTTTTAGTTCATTTAAGTGTTATATGGAATGATTAAATTAGAACAATTGTCTTGATGATAATCACAGTATAGTACATCTAGGGAATAATTTGTTGGAATATTCAATTGTTTCGCTTACTTTACTAATTTAATTTAATTTTGAAATACGTTATTTCATTCTCACACGAGAGTAAAAAATAGAATTTTAGATGGAATAATTCAAGCACAAATGAACATAGGTAATTTAGATTTATCTAGAGATAGTTAAGATATTTTTATTAAATGTTGGAAACTTTTACTTTATTATGAAAAAACGAGAGTTAGAAAATTTTTTCTTATTTTATAATATACATTTATTAAATCAATTAATAAATATGTACTTATTAATAATTCCTAGTATAAGATAGTATTTATTATTAATTCCTTCAAAGAAGATTAACATTTCATATATGATATATATGAGCAATCAAGGATATTGCATATAATATAATATATATTATTATTTTTAAATGATTAATTAGATAGAATGAATTGATGTATTCAAATAACTATTTTCTCATAAAGTTTATCCAAATTAAAATAACATGTCAGTATAAATGCAATAGAAGTTGAGAGATTTCAATGATTTCCGAGTGGTTCAATTTAAATCTGCTAATTTCCGTTTTGAACACCCAGTAAACGTGTGCCGCGTCTTCTATTCAAACTGTTTTGCGCACTGATGACGAAAATTCTCTAACTTTTCATTTCTCTATTTTCTGTAAGAATAAGTTTTTGTAATATAAATAGTATAGTTCGAATATAAGCTTTAAGCCTTTTATAGCAATTTTATAGTATGTACCATTACAAATCCTGAAAATTTTTGAATTAATGACAGTTCAATTATAAAAATGTTTTCATTGTTAATTACTCAATAATAATTATTTCTAGAAGCCGAGTATATTTAAAAATTATATAAATTAAATAATTTCGTAAAGGAAGCTATATATAATAGAATTATTCTTTTTTTGTTAGCGTAGACAATAAAAATTATTTATACATTGATGTAAATGTTAAAATTAATTAGAATTAATGAATTAGATATTTTTATTATCAATTTAATTATGGTAAAATAAAAAAATATGCATATCTGTATTTTATTGCATGTATTTGACATTATTATGATTATATTTTATAGAGAGTTTACTTTTGTATTGGTTTTTTAATTAACTCTTATTATGTCGCGATGAATATTTTATAGTTGCATTTTACCAAATATTATTATTATAACAGATATTTAATTTCATGTTCTTTCTTAATTTCTCTAGGACTTTTACTTTATTTTTATAAATTTAGATCTTTGTATAGAATATGATTGAAACTCTTTGTTTCAAAGCTTTAAAAAGTTGTTCTTTTGTTGCCCAATTAGTTTGTTTGGAAAATATTTCTAATAATTCTTGAATAATCAATTGAAATATATGTAATATTATCTTCTTTTACATAAAGCTTTTGTGAATTTATATTTATTACTTTTGTATTTACAGAATATTATTGGCTATATTTGAGATAATTTTAAGATTTTTGCTTTTAGTATTTAAATGTAAACATATTACTGTTTGAATAAAAACATAACATATTATTTCAATAAAGTATTTTATAAATATGAAGTAATTGATGTGCCGAAATATTACAATAATATTTTCTTAAACGTGTTTTTCTCTATTATTAATAAATTATTAATAATCTTTAGCTATACAATATATCTTATTTTAACGATAATTGCAATTATTATCTACATAATTTATAATATATTATTGCTTTCGGTCAAAATCTTCCTTCGCAATTATTTATATTAATTTATTGCTTAATTTTGAAGTATATTTAATTTAATTTGCAATGAACTGTATTTTAATGAGTAATGAGCCATACGAAGTTTAAATATATACATAACTTTTATAAAATTTCTAAATTCATTTAACTATGACTCGTAAGTTAAAACAAAAGAATATTCAAATTAAATAGGTATATTCGTAATGTATAATGAGATATTTTATAAAACAGTGCCTGCATTTATTATTTAAATAAGTGAGTGTGTATTTAAATTACAGCTTGTGGGTAAAAATAATAATTACGTAGGTTTAAATTTTAATTTTTTAGATGAATTCCTTCAGTGAAGTTGTAAAAATTATAGTTAGACATGCTATGTACATTTTGAAAAATTATATTAAATGAATATTAAAATTCAGAAATAACTCACAGTATTTCTACACAAAACATTGAAATTAAAACAATTAAGATTGTATGTAGTATATGTGCATAAAAAATCATATGAGAATATTTATGATTTAATTTATATTTACATAAGGAATACAGTGCAATGTTTTTGTGCTTTATTTTCAAATGGTAAAAAATGTTATTTATTCAGTTAATTGTGCTTTTGAATTAGCATAATAAAATTTGAATTTTTAATAATAATTATGGTACCGTTCAATGTATTTATTTAAGCAGAAATAATTGTAAGTATGAAGAAAATTTTTCTTACTCACCGTAGTCTCCGAAAATTGATGTAAAAATAATTTACTGGAGTTAATGAAAGTAAAGATTGATTAGATTTTTGAAAATGAAAAGACATTGTAATTGATAAGCTAATGAATTGTATGCAAAATGGGAGTAAAATTTTAAATATAACCAATAAGTATTCAATGGTAAAGACTGTCCGAAACAGCGGTTATTTGGCAGTATTAAAATTTCATAAGAAATATTCTTACGATTTTCTTAAAATAGCTAATGAGAGCTTTGTACTTTCAATGGAAAGTTTAATGATTTCAGAGAGAGAATCAATCCTATTATTTTTTGCTTTCGAAACATCATTTCGATCTTGCGTTCATAAAAATGCGTTAAGTATCTTTTGCTGAGTTTATGCTTTTAAAATCGCAGCTATTGTAGAATAAGTAGAGTCAAGAAGGGAGAATAGTTGCTGGTGTATTTCAGCCTATTTGAAAAAAATTTCTTGTACAAAATTTTAGATTAAAGTTGAGCGAGGAGCGAAGTAAAAGGAAAGAATTATTGTGCCAGTTTTCAGCGTCACCTACGTGACGATAATATAATGTGTTGGAGCACAGTGAAGAATCTATCGACGGTTTGCAAATATGGGAGAGACATGAGCGAATCTGATTGATATTGTAGCAACGTAATTTTTACTGATAAATTTTCTTTTTGAAGACATGCTACCCGACGACGAACTTGGCCTACCGCCACTCACAGAATTGTACATCGGACTGCCAAGTAAAGCTAAGCATTTGTAGCCACTTCTCCGACAAGTATTTTGGCATGCTCTACTCATATTTTATACGCACCTCAAATGCTGAAGAAATGCTAGAAATTTTCAAAGAAAGCTTCGCGACTATCAGTTAAAAGTCTGTGTTGTCGGGAAAAATAAAGACCGTGTTCTGGAAGACAATAATCATAGGAGAGTGAGTGCGCGTGCGTGTGCGTGTGCGAGCGCGAGTGTGTGAGAAAGAGCGAGCGAGCGAGCGAGTGAGTGACTGAGTAAGTGAGTGTATGAGAGAAAGAGTCTGGGTTAAAACTTTGTGTCTGATTGGCCATCGCAATCTTCCGATGCTAATCCTGTAGAAAGCATTGGTCATGCATAAAGCAGAAACTAAGATAAATATTTCCTTTAAAACAGTTGTTCCGCGTGATTTAGCGCACGAATGTATTGTTGATTTAATGCAAGGTATCTCTTAGAAAATTCGGTAATTATTATTTTTTATTAGAATTATTTAATAATGTATAGATATTGTAGTTCAAGACGAATAATGCATTTTTACATTTTTCATTAATGTAAAGTAAATGTCTTTGTGAAATCAATTACATTATTATTCACTAAAGACTCTTTCACTTTCTTTTTTTCACTATTAAATTGATTCGATTATTAATCGATAGGAATTTGAATGTTCAAAGAAATATTAATTATAAATATAATGGACTGGTAAAATAGGCAAAAAGAAGTAGCGTTGCAGCATGAAGGATACAAAATAGCTTTCATC